GTTGGTGGTGAATTAGTACATGATTTGAATGTTTTGGATGTTGGTGGTGAATCAACACATGTTTTGAATGTTTTGATTATATGGTGATTACCGATGCGATCTCGGTGCTGCCCCTTTTGTTGCTTGTCAATTTTCTGGGCTGCATGAAAAAAGAAGAAAAAAATAATAATATTTTTGTTTGTGTATAATGTTTTATAATGAATGCCTTGGTACATGTTGTAAGTATTTTTACCGGAGTAGAATCGAGAAATTCGAACACCGGGTCGTATCTCAGGGAAGGTCAGCCGGATTATCTTGTACGAATATTCAATCACAAAAAGAGAATTTAAATCCTAAACATTCTAATTCGATTGGTTGGTTTTAATTATCAACTACGCAATTAACGACTAATGATGCTCAAACAAGAAATTCCAATTTAACACTCCAAAAACACAATTCAAATAATGATAGGAAGGACTAGGGTGTCGGGGACAATCGTTTCCGGTTCTCAATACATTAAATGACAATCAACCACTCGGCCAAAGGACACGAAAAATTCACTCATTCAGAGATTCATCCTCAATAACTCACATAACAAGAGAACAAACATAAATGAACAATTATCGAATCAATCAGCACATAGACAATACGTTTCCGAACAAGTCTATTCTAAACGAGCCTAGATCCATCGATCCCTCCCCTTTCGGTTCTAAGGATCGATTAAGTGGATTAAGAAGGTGATCAATCAATTCAACCCTAGGTTTAGCACAACTCGAATAGCTTGAGTAATCGACATGCACATAAACGAAATCGAACCGGAACAATTATCCCCTAGCCCTAGTTTACGAATTTAGCTACTCATTATCAATTCAACACAACAATTCATAATTAAGCAAGCCATCAAATCCATACACACAATGAAAAGGAATGCTTACGATTAATATTGAATCCAATGTCGAAAAGCAACGAACAATTCAAATCCTAAGCTTAATCTTGGTGTTTTCACAATCCAAGATCAATTACCAGATGAAAGATAAGAGAAAACTAGGTTTTTGAGTGAAAAAAGTCGAAAGTACAAGTCTGAGAATGCCCAACATTCACCCCTTCCTCGAAAATATATCAATCTCCAATAAAAATCGCGCCTGTGATAACAGACCTTAGCGCCGCTAAGGACCCTTAGCGCCGCTAAGGTGCCTTAGCGCCGCTAAGGTTCCTTAGCCGTTCGCCTCAGTAACTGCATTAACGGCGCTACGAACTATTAGCGCCGCTAACCATCTAGCCTTAGCGGCGCTAAGATGGCTTAGCGGCACTAAGTGCCTGGAATGCCCAAAAAATAGCTTTTCTTCGGCCCGCGTGCTCGGCTAGCATTGCCCGGGTTCGGCCTGCGCTAGAAACTCGACCTCCGCATGTTTGGACACGTGAAATGGGACGAAACACCTGATAACTGGAACAGCCTGAAACCACCAAAACACGAAAAACAAGAGAAAAACAGGAGAAAAGACAAAGAAAACACGCAACACGACTGAATAATACTAAAACACTAGAAAAGTCTAGACGGACCGGTAATACCTAAGAAATGACCTAAAACGGGGGAGAAATTCACAAAAAATACAAGCAAAAGTAGCAACAAAAACGGGACAAACAACTCCCCCACACTAAGACCTTTGTTCGTCCCGAACAAAAAGAAAAGAAAAGAAAAGAACAGAAGAAGAAATAAACAAATGAGCAAGGCCAACGGTTCAAGCAAGACTAATCTCAAACCAATCAATCAAATCAAGGAGAATTCAAATGATCACAAGGGCACACCTCAACTTATTAACTGGCTATTCTGAATGACATAAACTCTCAAGTACGGAAGCGTATCATGTGTGTCTCACTCAAGTTCTTTCTCAAATATCAACTGGGTACACTCAAATTGGTCATCAGTCGAAACAATCATAAATTTGCCTATCGTCTAACTCTTACTCTAAAACAATCAAATTTGTGAAACAATGGATCAAGAGGACTTTAAGGGTTGTAACGTAGGTTCTTTGGACAGGGTAGGATAAATATAGGCTAACTGGCTAAATAAAAAATCAACTCCACTCAATCAGATAACCATAATCATGAATTCTTCCGGCTGCTGACACCAACCGGTTCCCCTCACTACTCCAAAATCAGCCTACCTCCCAACTTATTCACCATTTCTAATTATTTTTTTATTTATTTTTTTTTTTGTGAGAACCTTTGGAAATTTGTAATCCATTCGGTTTCTCTCTTTTTTTTTTTTGTTTTTTTCTTTTTTTTTTTTGTTTGAAATATATATACAAATACGAATCACCTCCAACTATATACTCACAACTCCACAACATCATCGTCACGAGGTTATAAAAGAAAGAAAATCAATAAGGCTCAAATGGGGTGACTAGCGACATTATTTTCAGAAAAAGAAAAGGGAAAAGGAATATAAAAAATGCCTCAATCATTTTCATGTTCACAAATCCAACTATTTCATTTCTAAGCAGACTCAAAGCAAATTCAAATTGTCCACGATTTTGACCAATATCTCACGAGAAAAGAAATGAACGTGGCTCAAACCTCACAGGGTAAAATGACTGTCAACAGAACAACCAAGCCAATTCATCAAGACATGCCACTCATTCTCATCATCACAACTATTTAACCCAATCAATCAGTCATCAACTAATCTTACAATACACCACGGTCCAGCTCAGAAAAACACAAACAAATAATCCTACAAGGAACACCGGTTCACAAAACAAGAGAAAAGCAAGCGCAATCCTAGAAATAAAAATAGAAACTAGACCGAGAAAAACACATAGCCACGGGGACACACGAAAAACCCTAAAGTACTCTCACGGGTGGGATTGGTGTCGTTGTCGAGCTCGTCCTCGTCGTCATCATGAGGGTTCTCGCCAGCGGGACCGGCCGATGTACCGGCTGCCGGTTCGGACTCGTCGTCCGGAAGCGGTATACCCATTTCCTCGCAATAGGCCTTGTATGCATTCCGCTTGATGACGGGATTCGGGGTGGTGGAGTTTTTAAGGAAGCCGGCGTGCCAGAGGTCTTTCTTGGTAATCGGTTTGGCATAGATTTTGGATTCGTCGATCTCAACCCTAAAGTACTCTGCTAACTTGGCCACCACATGGCCCAGGTTCGGTCCACGCCTCGAGTCGTGGCGTAAATCGAAGAGGGTGTCCTTCAGGTACTGCAACATCGTAACCGGTTTGTCGTGAGAGATCGACCACAAGATGAATACTTGCTGCTCGCTCACCTTGTTCGATTCCTTCTTCCCGAAGATCATCTGGGATAAGTATCTGTGGATCACCACAAGAGCTAAGTCGCTGATTAGACCCGAAGACGGCCCCGATTTCTTGTACGTCTCGCAAGGGGAAATGACCGCCCAATGCGGATCAACCTTGAATCCCATGGGGCTGTGGCGTGACGTGATTGAGGGATCGAACTTGTAGATATCGCACAACACTTTGTCGGTAATTTTGTATTCCTTGCCCTTGAGGCGAGCCGTGAGGTACTTCCCATTTTCGTGTCGAGCGATAGTGCTAAAGAACTCCAAAGTCAAGTGTCGGTACGCATATGGTTCCATATCCTCGAAGTCCTCGAGGTCGAGC